CTTCTCTTCTCTTCCCTTCCCTTCCCTTCCCTTCCCTTCCCTTCCCTTCCCTTCCCTTCCCTTCCATTCCATTCCATTCCATTCCATTCCATTCCATTCTATTCTATTCTATTCTATTCTATTCTATTCTATTCTATTCTATTCTTTACTTTGCCCCATCTGAATGGGACTTCAAATCCCATAATAGCCCTAGTTTGCACGTCAGTTTCCTATATGCTTTTAGACTGACATCATCTGCACGTTAACTAGTCAACTAGATCTTTTTGGTTAATTAGAGTTTAGAATTGGGTAAAAAGATTCTCTAATTTAAATATTGGTGTGAAAATTCTCATAACTAATAGGTTAAAAGATTGTGAGAGGAAGAGAACTCAATCCATAATTTTCTCTCCATTTTTTTAACTGATTAAAAGAGAGTTGATCCATTACATCTGCAGCACTCTACGGAGTATTATTTTCACTTCATGTAGTTCTGTATTTGAATAGTTTGTTATATTTAGTGCCTCTTCCAAACAATTGTGCCTTTGACATTAAAGTATACTCATATATCCATCCTTTTGGCATCAAACCCTGCAGCTCTGTAAGAGATATTGCAGTGGAATAGATAAAATGAATGTTGAATTCAATCAAGCTTTATCGCTGCAACTTTTAATTTTAGCAAGCACATTAAACAACTGTATTATTGGGTAACTGTACTTCTGTTCCAAAAAGTGTTAAATTACCCATACTAGCAACTATAAAGTTTACTTTTTTTAAAATAGTTATGTAGAATGTAGTTTACATTTTTTACTCAACAGAATTAAAGTTTAAAAACAGCAATAGTGATAGTATATTACTATACAGATAGTCCTCGACTTACGACCACAATTGAGACCAGAATTTCCAAAGCCAGAGAAGGTGGTTTTTCAGTGAGTTATGCCTGATTTAGGGCTGAAGATTTCTAATAGCCCTTTTAACTGAAATATATAACTTTTCAGTGTCTGAATTTTATTCTGTCAGAGATTGAATAGGAGGCCATCTGTCCAACCATGTTCCTAAGATCTCATGATAATGACTAGAGGGAATCATCAAACTATTTTATTGTAGTCATCTGGCGTAAGGTGTGTATGACGGACCAAAAAAAATGCAAAAGACAGTGAGGTACAGCAGATGGGTCTGTTCAGTCTTTTGGGTGATAATGAAAAATGTAATGACTGATAATAAGTCTTCATTTAAGGTTTGCAGCTAGCAGAAGAATGAATGGGAATTTTCTATGCGGGTCAGTAAATATATCTACAAAAATATTTTTCCTTTGTTTTCCCAATAAAAATTACTGAATAGTGTTGCGGAAACATAAAACAGAATGGTTAGAATTATACACTTGAGTTACCAGCCAAATGAAAGGGAATGCTGATAGCAGCAGGTAATTCAGTTTTATAGAAGTGATTTTCCAGTGTTTTATTGCAACCTGGATATTGTGAAACCACAAGCAAAACCTTTACTATTTTGTTGTTGTCGTTGATGATGCTTCTTTTGAGGGCAAAAATATTGTGTATTGTAGCTTCTCTTAGTAGCTCAAGATGAGCTCAAGGACAGACAAATTTCAATTTTAAGAAATAATAAAAAAGAATGAATGTTATTTTGAAAGTCAAGTGAAAAACACTAAAAAAAATATCCATTGGCTGGAATTGGGCAGAGATGCCACCAAAAATGTGAATATACACTTAATATAAGCACTACCAAAATATTAAAAATGCATATACAATGGTAACCTATTCATGCATAAAATTTAATCATAAGAACTTAGTGATACTGAAGAAGGAAGACTGCTATTTTTTTTTAGGCTGTGAATTATACTTGGTTTTTGAACAACATGCTGGGAGTTATAGTTCAAATATTATCTACAACAAATACGAAACAAGATTATTCTCACTAAAGGATGCTAATTTGGACCAGAATTTCCATCACTAAGCAATACAGTGGTAAAGCACAACATCATATGGCCACACTGCTTATTGATGACAGTTCCAGCAATTCCTGGTTACTGCCATTAAGAAAAACACAGGTTGTTAATTGAGGATCTCCTGTGAGGGCGACTCTGACTTTCTGCTGCCTTCCCTCTTTGACTTTGCTTGTGGGAAATTAGCAGGGACGGTAGCAAATTATGATGAATGAAAAATGAAATGAAAAAGGATATCTTGATTTTCAGTGTCATAAAATCAAAGAGGACTTTATAAGCTACTCTACTTTAAAAAGTAATTATCTTAAACTCTGTATCTGTTTCTGTTGAGTCTCCTTTTATTCTGTGACTTGAACAAGTTTTTTAAATCTTTTTTTTCCTTAGTGTTTTGTTTCTTACCTGCGATCCGTCTACCTAATGAAGAACAAAGAAGTATTTGATGTATTAAAGTTACCCATTGCTGAATATGCCCTGTAAGTGCCATTGATCTTTAGTAATTGTAGATGCCGTACAAAAACTATACATCCTTTTTTTTATAGGTTTCCTTTGAACTTGGAAATTTTAATCAGTGAGCCAAGCCAACATTGGCTCACTGATTAAAATTAGCAATGAAAATCAGTTTGTTAAAAATGGAGATTAGTCAAACAGAGCTAATGGAAATGAGGAGAAAAAGCAATAAATGAATCCTTAATCATTTTGTGCTGCCTGTTGAAACTCAATAACATGGGTGCCAATTTTTAATTTTTTTAAAGGTGTCTTAGAAGTCCTCATTAGTTAGTCGTCACCATGGGAGAGTTCCTTCTGTTCGTGTCTTAAGATTTTAGATTTGGTCCTTTAGTTCTTGGAAAACCCTTCCCTAAAGTTTTAAGAGCTATTGCCATTCAGTGATGATAATCCTGAACTATTTTATTTATTTATTTGCTTTTTATCTTGACATCATTTGCAATCACCTCAAGATAGCACAGATACACACTGCACCATTCATTTATAGCTTTTGTCTTTCCTAATTTGTTCTTATTTTCTAAGATCCCTCTCTGATACCCTGACTTCTTTTGCACCATCTCCCCCAAAAGCCTTCCTCCAAAAAATCCTAAATTGACACTAGGATCAATAGCAAATTTGCCATGTCTGTCTGTCTTGTGTGTCTACCAGATGTCTCCTTACAAATCGTCCTCCATATTTTATGATCAGTCATTTTACAATGACATTGGAAGTTAAGACGGCCATGGAGTGATGCTTTAAAGAATATTCTCCCTTCCATCTCACTAGGGGCTCACAACCATGGGGCTGGTTAATGATGTGAAAGTCCTTCCTCCATTTTTAATTAACACTTGATGTTTGTCTGTATTTTAAATTTTAGATTTAGTTTTTATGTTTTTAACATTTCATTTGTGCACTGCCCAGAATCCCTCTGTGAGGGAGATCTTTAAAGAATGATATGGAAACCTTTCTAAGAAAGAAGTCATCCTTCAAAGCCAGACATGCATTTAGTGCATAAAAGGAACCTACTGTATACCGGAAGTAGAGACTAATAAATTTTGCTCTACAAACCAGTATCCCATGGGGCATTTTATTAAAACGTCACAATCATACACTGAGTGCATGTGTGTGTTCAGATTTTTTCATATTGTGCTTTAGAATATAGCTGAACCTGCTTTTAAGAAGAAAAAAAAGACAAAGCTAAATCTTTTTTTCATTCTACCCTTACTGAATATTAGATTCAATAGCCATTAAAAAACCCTTCCTTCCTCTAGACAAAGGATTACATAAATAGCCACAAATTGTACCACCTTTTAGAACGGCATTTAGTTATTTTGTTTGGTATGAATGGGATGGAAATCAGTAAGAATATCACAAGTCAAACGAAAAGCAAAATTGGGACCTTACAGTTCACTTCTCAAACGAATTATTGTAGATCTGTACTTTAATACATTGTCCACAATTTATTTTGGGGAGAGGAAAAATAAAGAGAAGACATGGATGACCAAAGTCAATACTTTTTAGCAAATTGAGCCAAGGGGAGATGAGCTTGGAATCGTTTTCATATCTTTTTATTCCTCTGGGGTAGAGATCGAGGGATGTCCTGGTCTTTAACCCATCCCTAATTAAGATGTATGTAAATCAAAGGATTTGTACTCTCAGCATCCCTGAGAAACCAATCCTAGAAAATAATGGTGAAAAGAATTAAAACATCTTATGGGCAATGCAAGCATCATACACCTGACAACGATGGAACAATAAAAAGCAAAGGAACATTTCATTCATAATTAAATAGCCAAGCTTATTAATCTTTGGCATAAGAAATGCACAGGGCTGGCAGAATTCCACAGCAGTTTTCTTTGAAGTGAACATAATATAATGTGACCTTGCCTGACATCTATTATGTTGAAAATTCTTAACAGAGGGATGGCATAGTGATCAAAGGAACATGCAGAAAGCCCAGTGTTCAATTATCTGATATCTCTAAATAGCATAGGGACAGGTGTCTTCCTCAATGAGCCACTGAAAATCAGTGCAGATTCAAACCTTCAATCTCTCAGGCCTTAATCAAGTGGGCAACAAATCACTCTGCCATTAGCAATATGGCTCAAACTAATTATTATTCCCACAGAAGTATAATCTGTTTTTTTTGGGAGAAAATATAATATTACTGCTGTACCAGTGGTGAGATTCAGCCAGTTCGCACCTGTTCGGGAGAACCAGTTGTTAACTTTCTAAATAGTTCGGAGAACCGATTGTTTGAAGAAATCTCATTTTGTTTTTTCCCCTTTACAGGGCTAATCTGTAAGGAAGGCAGGAAGGAAACATTCTGGTGTTGTTTCTAGCCTAATCTTTATTGCCCTGCTTACAGAAACTGCCTCTCCGGTTAACCCTTATTACATTGTACCAGCTAAGGCGAAGCGCCCATCGACATGACTGACGTTGAGTTGGTCACGCCCACCCAGTCACATGACCTCTGAGCCCCACCTACCCAGCTGGTCATTAGGGCAGAGAACCAGTTGTTAAATTATTTGAATCCCACCACTGTGCTGTACTATTACATTATCAAGGTTTTAGTTCTTTCCAATTCTTCTACACAAGCCTATATATTGCAACAACTTCTATATAAGCCAATACCCTGAAAAACACTGGCTGTTGTTAGTTTTTGGACTAGAAGGATAATTGATCTGACTCAGCACCGAGAAACTTTTTAATGTTCTCAAATGTCAAACCCATCTGAACAGCAAAAGCCACCTAAGGTTTGACATTCCCAGAGGGGGAATCTGAAATACTTTCAGAAAAACCTAATGTTGAGGTCTAATGATATTTCTTTTCTTAGGCACATTAGTTATTGGTGTAGTGATTATGTGTGATTGGTGAAATCCAGATTCAAGACTTCATTCATTATTATGAATATACACCTGTCTGGGCCAGTCTCTCTCTTTCTGTTTCACCTATTTACAAGGCTGTATTTCTGTGGGTAGAATCAAAGGAGGAGATCACCTCATATGTTATACTTGATTATCCCAGAGAAAGGAGAGGAAACACAGATCGATTGATCTGTCTGTCTGTCTACCAGTGGTGAATTGTGGATCCCGTTGCAACCGGTACAGTGCAATGGGGCTGGGTGTCTGCCCGCAATGCTCCATGATGCCTCTGTGATGCTCCAGCTGCTCAGCAGAGCATTGCGCAGGCTCTGTACACTCTGTGTTTGTGTGCGGAAGCCCCGAAAACAAATACTGGTAAGGAGGGCGGGCCCTCCTGAGCACAGTTCTGGAACAGTACCTGATGCTCCAGGTAGGCACTGGTACGCCCGTACCGGTGCGTACCGGTTGTAACCCACCACTGCTGTCTACTATGTTTCCCTGAAAATAAGACAAGGGCTTATATTAATTTTTGCTCCAAAAGACACATTTTATTTTCCAGTTAGGTCTTATTTTCGGGGAAGTACAGTACTAAATTCATCCGTCTGCCTGGCAATCTTAACTGGGGCTTATTTTTGGGTACAGCTTATATTTGGGCATCCTGAAAAATCATGCTAGGGCTTATTTTCCAATTAGCCTTTATTTTTGGGGAAACACCGTATCTATCTATCTATTGCATTTAGGAACCACCCTTTTCTTTTTTATACTCCTTTCTTCAGAAATCAGGTGGTAGGAGAGAGAGAGACAGAGATACACTGAGAGAGAGAGAGACACACGCACATGCACACGCACACACCAAGACAAACCGAAGTTTAGAAGACTTCCCCAGAAAGAATGATCTCATGTCAGTTCTTTTGTCTCTTTAACAAGCTGGGAAGACTTTTTCCATTTCTAGTCTTTACTTTGATTTAAACCCTGCAAGATTTTGGAGTCTCACCAAATCTTTCTACCAAATTACAGCAGCAATGACAGCGATGAATAATTAAATATGGAAAGAAAATTCATGTTTAATTAATTTAGTTATAATTATCTACACGTTCAGCCCTTCCTTCCATTTGTCGTCATCCCTTTGGAGTACCACCCGTGCAAATCACTTCAAAACTATTACGCATCCCTTTTATAAATGGACTCCTATTTTTCATTGTTGAGAATGGTTTGTTTGATTGCACTTAGCTTTAATTATATTTCAGCTGTGTCAGCCATTCAGGAAGCAGCATTGCCAAAAAGCTGGGCTAATGATAAATAAAGAATTGCATATTGGAAAACCATCTATAAGATAACGATAATGGAAAGTTAAGGATTGAAGAAATATATAAAAAGTAGCTTGCAAAAGATTCAGAAGTTTAGTCGGCCAGAATTAATTTTGTTTGCCAGATGTATGAAAAGTCCTCACTATTAAGATAATGCCCTTAATAATCTTATCATGGTTTTTCTTTGGTTTTTAAAGTATAGTATAAATTCAGCAATTATAATTTGTATGCCATCCTTTATGCCTTATTGAGTGTAAGTCATACATAAGTTATAAGTTATTACTCTGCGTGTTGTGTCTGGCTTACACAAATGTTAAGAATTGCTTCCAGCCAGTAGAAATTTTCTGCCTTACAAAATAACATCATGCAAAACAGATTTTGATGAACTTTTAATGGTTAGCCTTTAATATTATACCAGAGATCCTGTTCTGATGCTTGATACTTTTCTATTTTGTAGCTCTCTTGGGCTTGCAGTGGCCCCTCGTGTACGATTTCTCCAGAAAGTCCAGAAGAAACTGCATACAATGGAGCCTGAAAAAGAGGGGACGGAGCAGGCTGAGGACACACAGTTTTCTTTAAGTGACGAGGACTTAGAGAAATGCAGGAGAATTTTCTCTAGAGCAGGCATGTTGGAACAAAAAGAGACAGAGGGCCTCTCTGGGCAAAACAGCCCCGTTGAAGAAGCATTGCAGAGTCTTTCTGAGCCAGAAGAGCCTGCAACAGTCCATGAATCAAAGCCTGAAAGTCTAAAATTTTTCGAAGATGATGATGATGATGGAGATGATGATGATGATGATGCCTCCAAGGACGTGCTGATTGTAAAACGGCGAAATGTATTTGGCTTAGAACCAGAAGAGAAAGCACCATTGGTAAGGATCTTTTTTTTTAAATGCTAAGAGCCAGCCTTCTTTTTCTTCTGGAAGAGGGTTATGATTGTCATTGTCTGGCTTTCCGAATATAGTTTGCTATTGCATTACACAAATACCAGACTATTAAGCCAGGGGTGTCAAACTCAAGGCCTGCTGACTGGATCCAGCCCACGGGGTGCTTAGATTTGGCCCATGGGGCCGCCCTAGAAACAGTGAAGGACTGGCCCGCAGTGCCTCTGCCAACGAGAATGGGCTCCCGAGCTCCGTTTTCGGCTGCTGCAGCCTCCTACAACCCTCTGCCAGTGAAAATGGAGCTAGGGAGGGCCGTTTTCGCTGGCAGAGCACTCGGGCCACCGCAGGCACCAACACGAATGACGTCAAGCTGGCCATGCCCACCCCGGTCCCCCAAGGTCAAACACAACCCTGATGCGACCCTCAATGAAATCAAGTTTTGACAACCCTGTAGTAAGCCTATGCCTCGATCTAACAGAGCTTTTCCATTGCAACCATAATAAATACATACAGAGCCGAGGTGGCGCAGTGGTTAAATGCAGCACTGCAGGCTACTGCTAGATCAGCAGTTCAGCGGTTC